CTGGACACATGAAGTCTCCACCCTCCTGCACGGAGACTTTTGAAAGGATCTCTGGTGGCTCCTCCTTCTCGGCCTCTTCATTCGCGCCGCTGGCCTCATCTGCTTCTGCCCCACTGGCCATCACATCTTTGTACTCAGCCACGGAGTGTTGCGACGAACACTCGTCCTCGTCCGAATACTCGTCGCCTTCACTTTCCTCGCCATCCAAAGCCTCGGATCCAGACACATACGAGTACTCATCATCTTCTTTGAGGACCCCCTTGTTGGCGCCGGTGCTCGACACATCGACACGTTCCTCACCGGAGCCTTGGGGGAAATGTTCCTCTTTCTCCGCCGAGCCAGTGTCCTACGAGAGGGCAGGATTTACGTTGGTTTTGGTTGTTGATGGTCTACTCGATTTAGACAAGCTAATGATTTTCTATCGCTTTTGAAGGCGATGTGCTGCAGTCAGTTTTTGTGCTTAAATGCGCGGCCTGCGGGCGAAACCGTGTGTTCGTGCTGTTCTTGATGTTGTGTTGCTGGCTTATCTCAGAGTGAGTGCACTCCTCTGGGGCTTTGGTCTCCGGGATTCTCCGGGTGTTGTGGGCATTTTTTGCTTTGCACTGCTCTGGGTTTGGGATTTGGATTTGTGGCTAGGCTTAGAGTTTCGGGCGGACTGCCGTGGTGTGGGACTTGGCTGCGGGCTTGCACTGCTGTGGCGCGGTCGCCGGCTTGAAGGCTTCACGCTCCGGGCTTTCAACACGATGGGTCGGGGTTGGGGCTCGGACAGGTGCTCAGCCAAGCGAGTCCGTGTTGGAAAGCTTCCATCACTAGAGTCTATCACTAGAGGCTTGTACCCAAAGCCTCCACCTGGCGGGAACTAAACTGACAGACGATACCGACGTCATCAGTTTGAGTGGATGTGGCAAAAGTAGGTAGCCCCAGCTCACTGAAAGAAGCCTGAATCATAGTCGGAGCTAGCAACAGGAGGAAGCAATCATAGACCAAGTAGCAGGGCCATATGGCAGCATCAGCAGCAGATATGGAAGAAGAGCTAGGACAATAGCCCTGCAATGCCAGTACTAGTCCTGTAGCGAAAGTAGTCGCAACGCAGCAGCAAGATCAGCACAAGCAGCACTGGCCATGGATGCGACAAGAACCACGCGTCGAACTTGCCCTGGCCAAGAGCAAGAAAGTTCAACCAAGCACAGAGTCCTTGTCAGTGTTTTTGGCTTCTTGGTTCGCGTCACACGGAGGGGCTGGCTTAGCGGGGTCTCCCTCTCGCGACTCTTCCTTCTCAGCCTCTTTGTTGGCGCCGCTGGTCTCATCGGCAGAGATTTCGGAGTACTCGTCCTCTGAATACTCGTCGGAGTACTCTTCTTCACTTTCCTCGCCCTCCAGACCCTCAGATCCGGATTCATCGGAATACTCATCCTCTTCGTTGAGGACATCCTTGTTTGCCCCGGTGCTCGGCACATCAACATGCTCCTCACCGGAGCCTTCCGAAGAGTATTCATCCGAGTACTCGGAGTACTCGTCCTCCTCCTCGTCGTTCATCTTGGCGGAAACCTCCGCATCCTTCCTGGACTCCTCCACCGGTCCAGCGGGACAGGATTCGGGAGCGGATCCTTTTGAGCCCACTTGTTCCAGGCCGTAGCCGTCGAAACAGCATTGCGGCACCTCCACTTTGGATCTGCGCCTTGCGAGCGCATCTCCCAATGTCTCCATGATGGAGTGGCAGCCCTACACTCTCTGGCCTATAGACAATCCTCAATGGCAGAGTCGCTATGAAACCACTACACAAGTGGGGATGTTAGCTTCGGGTATCTTCTGAAACCACGGGATGTCTCGAGAGAGAGGCTCTTTGAGCAGAGGCGGATGCAGGTTGATCGCGTACACGAGGAGAAGGTGCCAAGGTGGATATGGCAATGTGCAAGCAGCGAACGAACTCTCGGACTGACTGAACAGCACTTTCAATGCCCTGCGGCCGTCAGAGCCCGCGTCCCAGAGCCGTTGGCCTTTCAGCTCAGCCCGTGCGTAGTCAATCCTCACAACGCAGGCTGAAAGAAAAGAGCTCACTCAACTGCGACGTGAGCACGCCTTGTGCCGCCGGCACGGATAGAGTGGCGACAGCTGTACAGGTAGCTGACAGGAGACGATTAGTAAATGATTCCATCCATGTCCGTATCGCTTGCATCTGAGGCGCTTCAGCTTGAGCACATCCCCTGCTCGGGTGGGAATTGAAAGGAGTGGTTCAGTTCTCCAAGCAGGACGTCCACAGATTGTAAAGCACCTCAATGCACGCTCCGACGTTGCTCGGGTTCAGTCATATGTGCATCGCTTCCTGTGGAGACCCTCATGTCTAAATTAGTTGCGACTTTGAATTACAACATCAGTTCCAGAATCCCTTGCCAGTTCACTCCTGGTCCTCCCTGTTCCCTGGAGAAATTTTCTGTGCAAAAATATCGGATGTATTTTGGGCTTGCTTGTGCTTGAAAGAATCCCTGGAACCTCATGACTTTACAGCAGCAGTTCCTGCGTCACCTAGAACTCGCCCTCTCTCTGAGACAAGAGCCTTCTCCTGTAGGACAACTCATGTAAGATACTAGCAGTCCTGTCTCGCAGCCTCACGCTGCAGCAGAGGCGCCACGGCCGGTGAGCCCTGCCAACACGCAGACCGTTTTGTCGGTGGCTGTGAGCGCATGAGACGGACCCATGCGAACTCGCCGCCGGAAACAGTCTTAAAAGAGAATGTTGGCTGGCCAAAGGTCGACAAGCCGAGGTGTCCGTCCCGCCTGGGGCACGGTCTGGAACACCATGCGCATGTCAAGGCTCTGCTTGGGCGACTCCTACTCTGACTATGTTTTCAAGGCGACGGGCAAAGTTCCATAACATGGTCCCTCTGAAACTCCGCCAGTCCTGCGCAACGGCTTGCTCGCTCCAGTCTCTTGGACGATCTGATGGCCTTCGCGACCTCCGATCTGCTACAGTATGCCGGCCTATCTATAACCTTGCGGATCCTGTGTTTCTAAATGATGGGCTTTCGTTGACTTGTGTCTGCACGACGGCCACATGCATGCAAAATGATCCAAGGAATAGTCCTATCTTGCCGTGGTCCCTGTCGTTGTTGTTGTTGCTGCTGGTGTATTGCAGGCACATCATTCATGGACAAGACTGTATCCATACATGTTTCTGCTCTAAATACACACAACGGATCAAAACGCAGGGAAGGTCGAACACGCTAAGGCGGCACATACTTGTGAGAAGCCTTTATGCTGTCTGTTCCTAGCACGAACAAAATAACACACACACACACACACGCACACACATGTTTTTGGCCGTCGCACTCGAAGCTCAGCCGAGGGTTAGGGAGGCAATAGAACACCAAGCAACTCTCCTCGAGTTTACACACGCACGAACGCACCACTGGTACTGGACGGCACGTGCGACAGTGCAGGGTGCAGAAATATGTATTCTGCATGTCCACCGGGGAACTAAGCTCACTAAGCCCAATCCAGGTCCAACTATGCTACTTCGGCAAGGACCAAGACACACCTCAACATTCCCAGAGTGTCTTCCATATACAAGCATAGAAACACAACTGTTTGTGTTTACATGCATTTACATGCACATCGTCGCCCTAAACTTGCCTGATCACTCCCCCAAACTCTCCCTTATTTCCGAATGCATTATGGGCATTATGGTCGGGATATGGCAGAATAAACCACGGTTTCTTCAACAGAACAAAATGCTATGCGCCTTTGAGAATGTGATAGAGCACCATGTTCCAATGCCCACAGACGCCCGATGCCGGGCGCATACCCCCACACACTCACAGACGAACAAACAAATAAATGATGCACACCAAATGTGATCCAAGTGCGGGTCAACACGGGGGGTTAACACTGTGTGTATGTGTGTATATATGTGTGTGTACATATCTATATATCTATATCTCTATCTCTATCTATATCTATATCTATATCTATATCTATATATATATATGTATATGCCTTTGCTATCCTTTGCTCGCAAAGGGCCATGAAAGCAACATATAACAAGTATGGAAAGGCAACTCAGATGAGCCAGCAGGCTCACGCGCAGCAAAGCCAATCCTTTTCCATGCGTAGCGCACAGGCTGAAGGCCTAAGGTAAGCCGAGAGGTGCCACGGGAGAGGCACAGCTGAAGCACCGATGCACATGCGAATCTTCAACATCCCCTATACTTTCTTTGTTGCTTTAGGGCCTAGGAGCATGGCAACGGTGCGATCAACCCTGTACACGCCTCTTAGAGAAGAACGTGACCAAAATGGGCACGCGGCTCGCCAGCAATCCATGCTGGTTTGAGAGCTCTGTGTAATCAACGTCGCGCTCGAGCATCCTCCACTGGGCTTGACCAGTGGGCAGCGAAACTCTAGCAAAGGAACTCCTGAGGGGAAACTCGGCCGTTGAGAAGCGAGGCTCTGGTGTTCTATACGACTTGGCATCATAGGCAACATTCACCCCAGTTCCATCCAGGTTGTGCCACCCGCGTTGCTCCCCAGGGCGAAGCAAGTGTCCGAGCAAAGGGTCGTCGCCAGGAAGTTCAACACCCGGAAGAGAGGCTGCGGGGTCGACGTTGGGCGTCCGCTTCTTGCTGCCTTTGGCCACCTGCTTGACAAAAGCCGGGCTGTAAGTGACAGACCAGCGCCCCGAGCTCATGATCGACCGCATGTGGTCGAGGTCCATGGCCTTGGTCCCGCCATCGGCCCACATGTTTTCGGTACTGGTCCACTTCAAGACAGTGTTCGGGCGCCGAAGAACGGCGCGAAGCCAGGCCACCGTGAAGGCCAAGCTCTTTTGGCTGCCGTAGCTGTTGGAATCGCTGTTGCCCTTGTCGTACACGTCCTTGGCGTCCACAACCACTGTCAGCGGGACGGAGTTCATCGCAACCTCCACCTCACTCTGGTGGAGCCCGTGGCCCCGGATGCTTGCCAAGTAGCCCCGGCAGAGTTGTCCAACATCGAATCCTTCCTCGGCGCCGAGCGTTTCGGCAGCGTACGAGGATCGGCAAACCCGGCCGATGCGATGGCTCCTGGCGTCCAGAATATTGAACGTGCCCGTCTCGCCGCCCATCAGCTTCTTGTCCGCAAGGATGCAGAAGTAACAGGCCTGGCTGTAAACTTTGGCCAAAGGGGGCTCCTCTGCAGAGCCGCTCTCCGAAACGTTTCCCAAGGCCGCGTCGGTCACCACCATGAGCCCGCCTTCGTAGGGGTCAACGCTCCGGAAGGTCAGCTTGTAGTTGCAGTCCCGTTGGAACTCCAGCACAGCCTCGTTTTCTCGAAGGAGCGTTCCCACCGTCGGCGGAGATTCCCCTTGGAGCGAGGAAACACAGAAGGCCAAATCAAACCTGATCTGGGCAACCAGCCACTGAAGACTGCCCAGGAGCATTCGAAGCTTACGGTGCTCCTGTGGTGTAAGAAGAGCTGCGGGATCCGTCTTGCGACTCTTGGGCACGAAGACCGTCTTTAAGTTCTCGTGGTACTCCTTCATGCTGAGCGTCACGGTGCCGTCGGAGTGCTTCTCGAAGTACTTCCCGCACCAGGTGAAGGCGTCGCGGACCACCTCGCGGAACCCCAGCTGAGCGCCCACATCCATCAAGGATTTCTCGGCCGCTCCGTCTCCACCGAAAAGCAAGTCGTCGACGTGGCTGACGATCATGCCCTTCAACCGCTTCCGCTCGGCACCGTCCCAGAGAAACCAGACCGCTTGGTCCACCACTGAGCGCACCCAGCCCTTGGCTTCCAGGGACCTGGACAATTTCATCCACCACTGTCTCGGTGCGTCTGCTAAGCCGAAGACGCCCTTGAGGACCCGGGCCAGGCATCCCGTAGGCAACGGAATTCCAGGTCCAGTTTTCTCGTTGGTGGGCCCAATGTACAATTCTCTGGAAACGAAGGGATCTCCTTTGAGGAACGCTGCTTTGACATCTGCTGACAGCAGAGACCACGTAGCAGAGTGCCAGGCCACCAAGCACAGCAACAAGTGTTGGCTCAAACGGCTGCCGGTCGGGGCGTCCCTTCGGATCTCGCCGGCCAGGTTGGCTCTGTCCCGAAAACCCGGAACCACAAGGCGGGCTGACGGTGCCTCCGGCAACAAGGCGCCCTCAGTCCTTAGTGGCTGGTTCTTGTCCGTCATGACGAAGCGTGGGGTCAGGATTCGATCCAACTCTCCCTTTCTCGCAAGCTCCTTCCGGACGGCCAGGCTCTCTTGCACCGACAGCACCTTGATGGCGTCGTTGTCCACGTAGGCGGCCCAACCCTTTTCAGCTGCCTTCTTGTAGTCTTCCTTCTGCCTGGCCGACATAGAGCTCCACTGCAGATCTTTGCGGCCACCGGTGGCATTCACTTCGTGGTGGTTGTCAGGGCAGCCAGTGGGCAGAGCGGCGCCAATCTCCTGCAACAGCGCATGCTGACTTGAGGAAGGCAACGACCACCGTCCATCCCACGACCCATGGTCCTCGGACTTCTCTGAAAAACGACACTGCTGGCGATCACACTCAACCAGGGCTTGCACCTGCAAGAGTGGATGCGTCATAGACGACCCCAGCGCTAGTCGCTCAAGCTGTTCTCGGTCCAAGGTCAACGCCTCAAAGACAGGCAGCACTCCTCCTGACCCGTCCTGCACCACCACCGAAGCTGAACCAACGGCTAAAGCAGACCCACCTGCAGCAGCTGACCTAGACGCTTCAGGTACCCCAGCTGGATGCCCACCGGATTCTGAAGAAAGTCGACGGGGAACAGCAGCACTAGGAACTGAAGCTGGATGCCCACCGGATTCTGAAGAAAGTCGAGGGGGAACAGCTGCGCCAGGAACTGAAGCTGGATGCCCATCGGATTCTGAAGAAAGTCGATGGGGAAAGTCCTCTCCACTGGTCCGCCTCGAGGAAGCCGGGGGCTCCAAGGCACTCGCTGAAGAAGGGGCCTCACTTTCTGAAGTTTGCCGCTTCCTGCCACGCTCCATCTGTAGCCGCAGTTCGGCCGCAAAGTCGGCCGGCTGCCCTCGGGCCAGGGCCTGCTGACTCAAGTCAACGGCCAAGGGCTGTCCTTGAGCTCGTTGTAGAGAACGTTGAAGCACAGGCCGCTGCAAAAGATGGCCCACGGGTGTTCCGGGAGCGGCCGTTGATGTCTCGTCCGGCGGCTCGTCCACAGGCGTTGCGGCAATCGGCGCCGGGATCTCGACTGTCTCTGGTCCTTCTTCAGCAATCGACTCAAGCCCTCCTGGGGCCAGCTCCTTCACAGAGGTGGCGGCACCGTCCAAGAGGTCCTTGATAGCGGCTTCCCAAGATCCAGACGCTAACTGCTCAAGGCTGGAAGCCGGCCGCACATGCTCCAAGGCACACTTGGTCACCTGCCCCTTGAAAGAGAGGAAGGCATTTGCAGCTGTACCTTCACCGCTGCCCTGCTCAATGGCGATCACAATCGCCGGCCCATGCCACCGACGAAGCTCAAGTCGACGGCGGCGGTTCGAAGTAGAAAGTCGCGGGTCGCCGCGTTTTGTCACGCGCTGAGCCCGCCAGAAGTAGACGGTATCGCCAGGTTGCGGAACAGCACGAATCGTTGGCTCCCGGCTGCGGGCTAGCTCCGCTTTTCTGATTGCCCTCGAAAAGTGCAACCTCACCATGGCAACTCTGGCAGATTCCCGAAGTGCAACTCGTTGTTGTAGAGAGGGGTCCTCATCAATCAAGCCATGCTCGGCTAATCGGCCGGAGAAGTTCTCCAGGACTGCCCCATGGGCCGTGGGTTGCCTGCCCGTGACACACTGGAGAGGGGACACGCCCTCAGAGTTCAAGTCGGAATTGTAGGCAGCACAAGCCTCGCCCACAACGTTTGCCACGTCGCGGTCCCCAATCACCACGTGCTCGGCAACCAAGGCGGCAATCAAGGCTTTTAACGTCCCTCCAGACCTCTCCGCGACTCCGTTCTGCCAAGGAGCCTGCACAGCACAGTGCCAAAGGTGCACCGAGTGGGCCGAACAAAAGGTCTGAAACTCTTCACTGATAAACTCTCGGCCCTGATCTGCTATGATCTGCCGCGGGGGCCCAAGCAAAGGCCACCACATCCTTAAGAGGAAATCCACCATAGAGGCCGAGGATCGGTCTGGCAAGATGGCCGCCAACTGAAAACGGGACACTGCATCCGTCATGTGCCGCACGGTATAAGTCTTGCCCAGGGAGTCTTCCACAAAGAGGAGGTCGACATGGGCCCGTTCACCGACCGACCTCGGGGCCGGCAAAGTAGCGGTTCTCTGGCTCTTTGGTCGGCTTCTCTCCAGGCAAACGTCACAACGAAGCTCCCTAGCGGCCTGCACTGCCGAAGGCGGCGCACCACTTAACAGCAAAGCTCGGGCCAATCTCATCGGAGGTCGGTGGCCCGTGGCTTCGTGAACTCTCCTCACCGCCGCCCGGATCGGGGCGGGCACTTCGCCGGAGAAGGGCTCTCCAAGCTCCTCATCCGACTCGCTGAGTTCAGCGGGCTCGTCCTCACCTGCCAGTGCCTCGTGTACAAAGTCAAGGCCGCCGTGGGAACCCACAATCTCATAGCACTCATGGGCCCGACCTTTGTTGAACAGGCGGGCCGTCTCATAGTCGAACTCCTGCTCAAAGGCCTGCACCAGCTTATCCGCAAAGGCCTTGGGGTAACCGAGGTTGTTGGGCTCGGCTCGGTCCTTGCTCACCCCGGCCCGGGAGCCCAAAAGGTTTGACACCACCGCCTGGCTCGAGGTCACCAGGCGAGTCGGAGGGTATTGTTTGCGGGTGCCCCCCTGGCTTGTCGAACCAAACTTGCCCAAGTCGACAGTGAGGCTCCTACAGCGCGGGTCGGCCAAAAGTGCACGAACACCAGGAAGACGCCAAATTGAAGAATTCGGCGGGTGCTCGAAAACGAAATGTCTCCCCCCCCCCAAGCTGTAGGCGGGCAAGTCGCAGGGCAAACCGCAGCGAGGGCAGTATCGATTGTAACTGCTGACGGCGGCGGTCTCGCGAAACATGCAAAACTGAAGCCTGCATCCAAGGCTCCAGGGGCACCGGCAAAACAAGAAAGTAAGGCTTATCACGTTGAAGCTGCCGAAGTGCTCGTTGCCGGTGTTCTGGTCGGCTAAAATCCCAACCCGCATCCAAGGTGAGGGCCCTGCCGGCAGTGTGCCCGCGGGCGCGAGCGGCACGGCCAACCGAAGTGTTCACACCCAAGCCGTCGGCACACAGAAGCGGGATCTCCACCACGAAGCTTTCCCGAAGAGCCTTCCGGTACCTGTGGTGGTTTTCCAGGGTCATCGCCTCCCGCAGCTGGGCCGGGGAACAAGAAATGAGCAGCTGATCTCGTCGATGTCGCTCCCAGGCCTGCTGCATCATGAGTCGCTGGCCTGCCTTCACAGGCCCTGGTCGGCTTCCAGGCATCCCAGCTGATCCCGCCGATGGTCCGGCTGCACGGGCACTCCTTGGGTCGGGTCGGAAGTCAGCTCCCAATCGTCGTTGCCCCTCATCTCCTCGTCGGGCGCGGTCAGCGGGGTTGCGGCCACCGACTGCATGTTCATGATGTGGTGAAGCACCTGGCTCAACATAGCCTCGTGCCGCTGCCCAAGCTCCTGGAATCGCTGATCCACCGCCTGCATCAGGTTGGCCTGCAGGCTCGCCGCATTCAGCGTGGAAGCACTCGAAGTTGACATCATGAAGGCTTGGCTGGGCAGGCTCGGCTCTTCCTTGGCACCAGGTGACATAGTCCCGAACGAGGTCGTTATCGAAGGCCGCGGCGCCGGAGACATAGGTCCGAACGAAGTGGTCTTCGAGGACTGCCGGACCTGCAGGGGCGTCGTGCTCGCCGTCGAGTCGGAGTGCTCGACAAAGGTGTCGGTAGAGCTCGCCGGCATCTGGGCACAAATGGCATCGGCGGTTGGCTTCATGCGGTTCCCTGAGCGTCTTGATGGTGTCCTTGTCGGAGACCTCGACGTGAAGCAGAGCCGCGAGCTTTATCAAGTCGCCCTTCAAGGTCGGGAGGCCTCCGCGGGGACCCAGCAAGGACCTCGCCACCTTCAGCCGGTCGCCCTCCTTCGCAGCTGCTTCCGCTTCTTCTCGAAGGGCAGCCGCCTTCAGTTGCTGGGTCCGGCCAGCCGGCCGACGAGCAGCGAGCATTCCGATGAGCACGGGGTCCTCCACAAAGGCGAACTTCAGCCCCACGCGGTTCCTGAACCAAGTCATCGAAGACAGGTGGGCTTGGGAGTAAGTGCCCCGGCCCACCCACCGGTGTGGGTAACATCCACTTCGCACCATGCTCTGCGCCTGCAGCTGCCATTGCTCCGCCGAAGACACAGAGGGATAGGGAAACGGCAACCAACGCAGCTCGGGATGCTTGACGTACCAAAGTCTGACTCCTTCTCGGCTCCAATCGAAGCGGGCCAAGGCTCTCAACAGCATTCTTCTCCAGCGCGCGCCGACACGAAAGTCGGGATCCGCCGCAGAAGGGCCGGCTGCAGCCAGGATCGGAGCCGCCGTCGGGCGAGGCAATGCCATGTTCAAAGGCGCCGGGCGACGGGGAGTCGGGTTGCTCAGGCGATGTCGCCTTGCACATCTCTTCGTCTCGGGCCGAAGCAAGGAAAACAGCATGAAACGCCAAACGTCCGATCTCCAAGCTTGCTTCGGTCATGTTGTGGTTGTGCGCTTCTTCGTCTGAGGGTGCAGCAGGAGGCAAACGAAGCAGCTGCGCAGCCCTACCACTATGGAAAGGCAACTCAGATGAGCCAGCAGGCTCACGCGCAGCAAAGCCAATCCTTTTCCATGCGTAGCGCAATCAGAACAAGTGATGCTGCACTCTAGCACGCCACCCGGCCCAATTTTTCGCCAACGGCCTCGGGTCACGGCCGGCCAGATCTCCGGGATCAAGGTCAGGGCCAGGTGCCCAGCCGAAAGTCGCTCCAGAGGCACGGGTGGCCTTCCAGCAAAAAGCTTGCAAAGCAAGGTTTTCTGGCCAAAGTCCAAAACTCCGCCCAGACCATCGAGAAGGTCTCTTCCAAGAAGAAGGCCCAAGGAGCTCACAGGCACACAGGAAACCCAAATGCCCACGAGCTGACCGGCCACCACCGCCGGCAAACGGTAGCGCGTAGAGCTCGGAAGCGTGCCACCATTGCCGAACTTAAAGTTCTCCTGCTCTGTCACGGTGGCCACCAGGTCGCGGATCTCCTTGGGGCCTTGTCCAGCTCCTTAAGGTAGCCTTGCACCCAGTCCTCGCCCGCACAGGTGCGATTGCAGGCCGAGTCCAGCGCGCCAACAAGCGCCTTGTCCGAGGCCAGGGTCACAGCAGCCAGGGCTTCAGGGCCGCGAGGCTGAACCGAAGAGCTCCGCAAGGCCTCCTCGACGGACATCATCATCACCTCGTGCTCCACCACCTGGCCACCCGCCTCGACCTTAGCAACTCATTGGCCGAGCTGGTCGCCTCCGCCATTCGCACCTGCTTGGCCGGCTTGCCCTTTGGCCGAGCAAGGCCGGCACCGGGCTTCTTGCACTCTGGGTCACCAGACCAGTGCCCAGACTGGCCGCAGTCGAAGCACACATGCTTGCCAGAGGCCTTCTTCGCCGCGATGTTGGCCTTGGCCTTGTCTTTCGCACTGCCGCCGGGCTGGTTCGAAGTGCCGGGCCCCTTGTATCCACGATCGCGCCGCACCTCCGCCAGCTTAACTCTGGCCTCCCTCATCGAAACCAAAGCCTCGGCCGACGCCTCAATCTCAGTCTCCAGGGCCTCACAAAATGCGGGGTCCACTCCTTCCTCCTCGGCCTGGGCGATCTCCTCGGCGAGGTTCTGCACTTCTGTCTGGAGGACCTCCTCAAGGGTCACCGGATCAGTGCCATCCTCGTCGGCCCCGGCGTCCTCGCCCTCGTGGTCGGCCGTCTCCGTCTCAAGTGCCTCGGGCTCGCTCTGTTCGGCCACATGTGCCTGTCGAAGAAAGGGCTTCCGAGCACCGCCGGCCACCGAACCTGCCGCCGAGGTAAAAGACGATCTCCGAGAAGGCGCCGAAGAGGGAGCCGTCGACGCAGAGGAGGTTCCGGTAGAGGCCGAGCTCCCGCCGAACATGCGGCGGATTGTTAACTTCGTGCCGGCCTGCCGCTCAGCACGTCGGAAAAGAGGGTCCTGGCTGTGAAGGTCGCGGAAAAGCCTCCAGCACTCAGCTTCCATAACATTATAATCTTCAGACCCTTGCAAGGCGGTTTCCAACAACTGACGCCGCAAAGCATCCAACCCGAGCTTCTCCTTGAAAAACCATCCGACTTCGGAGTCGGGGATCTTGACTCCTTCCGCCCTCAAGTCCGAGACCGCCGTCCTGAACCTCGAAGCATAGTCGGCCACCCGCTCCAGGGGCCGCCGGGCCAAATGCAAATAAAAGGCGGTCCGAAGCTCTCCGCGGCGGTCCAGCACCGACTGGCCATTCAAGGCCTCAAGCGCTTTGAGGAGTTTGTTCAATCCGGCCAGGGGGTCCTCAGCCGTCAGCACAAACTCTTCCCCTGATTCCGGATCGCGTGCTCGAACTTCTTTTTGATATTCGAGTTCTTCTGGAAGAAATTCCTCCCCCCTCTGCCGGACTGTGCCCGTTTGTCGGAGAAGGAACCTCGCCGCCAAGTTGTACTTCTTCGTGCTCTCCAAGTCCAAGGAAGAGCACCACCAGGCCATTTCGCGCCTAAAAGCGCGCCAGGTCAAAGGGGAGCCGTCCCATACGGGACAACGGCTCCAGGCACCACTGCTTTCTTCTTTGTCAGCCATCAGCAAAGATCAAATTCGGCCTGCCAGGTCGCAGGCCCCTTGCACGTGAAACCTGCCAACAGGTTCCCACACAAGGTCCCAGCTCGCCTCCCCACCAGCTGGGGCCACCAGCCGATGAAGATGAACAGGAGGCTCGTGTAATAGGAGCCGATCAGCAGAAAGCAAAGACAACGGAGTGCAGCGCAGGCTAGTAGCGTAACTGAATCTGAACTCGGGCTCCGGTGCCACTATGGAAAGGCAACTCAGATGAGCCAGCAGGCTCACGCGCAGCAAAGCCAATCCTTTTCCATGCGTAGCGCACAGGCTGAAGGCCTAAGGTAAGCCGAGAGGTGCCACGGGAGAGGCACAGCTGAAGCACCGATGCACATGCGAATCTTCAACAACAAGTATATGCACACGAACACACATGCAGTTGCATACGTTTCCACGTTTACAAGTACCGGCATGCATGCACGCACGGGGCCTCACAAAATGCGGGGTCCACT